AAATGCAGTCCTGGCGTTTGAGGGCGCGAACGCATGCGCAGATTGACACAACTTGAAGGCTGGTATCACAGAGAATAGAAAATGTCAAATTTCGTCATAAATGCGTAAAATCTGGAAAAATATATGATTTATATGTAATCGGACAACATTTTGCGATAGTTCAATGTCTTATAAGCACTCGTAACTGGTTTGGACAAGGTATTTTGTATTTTGAGGTATAATTTTCGGCAGCTAGAAAAATGTGTGCACATTTTGTTTCCTCCCTTGTCTTGTATATAGTGCAAGCTGATCGGCCGGAAACAAGTATTAGTGATTTTTGTGGTTTCGGAGCGTGATGATTAAATATAATAACATATGCTTGCTTTACATTACTAAACTGTTTTAATTCCATAATTTCTATTATTTTGAGCAAGGGTAAGGTCCTGTACCGGGACATAGTCGCACGGCCCCATAGACGTCCACGCATTGAGACGAATAGATCGTCAAGCCCCTGTGCATTTAGTGATGCATGCTTGTTTTGATATATATACTATTTACTCACTGGGCATGTGCAGAAAAAAGGTGAACCACTTTTATACCATAGTAGTATGGTAGCAAGGCCATGATATAAATCAATCAGGTTCACAGTACATTAAGTAAAATATCAATTAAATTTGATTAAATAATAAACAATTGTGCAAATTTGGAATGTTTTGTGGTTTAGTTGAATATTCAGAGCACATGACTGACATACCACAAATCTTAAGAGGTGCTCATTTAAAAAAACAAAACTTGTAAGATATTTTCAATGAGAAGGGTACTTGTTTTTATTGATGGATCGGAGTGTTCATTTATCTTGTAAAATGTAGAAACATGTGCCCCAATCATCCTCCCTCCTGAAATGATTGTTTATGTTGTTTTCAATAGATTTGTTGTAATGCACCACTCGGAGGTTGTATTTCTTTTATCCCAGTTACCGTAGTATATGGTGTTATACAGAAATTAGTTTATAGTTCATCACAGAAGCTTTGTACTCCAAGTTCAGGCTGTATCAGCTGAGCATGACAAAAACAAATGTAAACTAAAAACTTTTTTTACGATTTCAATGTTGGAGATGCAATACAAATTTTCAAGTTAATGTCTCCTATGTAATAAAGGATATTTTTTTCTTTTTTGAACAATGTGCAGATTGCAGTACAAAGCTTCAACAAACGTTTGTAGAATGTTTTTTTTTTTAAACATGCTTTGTTTTCAGCACTGTTCATGTGCCATCTACATTGTGTAAAATTATTAGCAGGAGCAACCCATTTGACATATAGGGGTGGCAGCTTATAAAAAAAAACATATTCCTTAAAAGTATTCCTAAATGTTTAGTTTTGTATATATATATATATATATTATGAGAGGCATCTCTTGACTTGGTACGTTGCCACCCCTTCTGTCGTATGGAATGTTCTATGTTTTTTTTTTCCTGGAAGCCACGATTTACAATTTAATGCAGTTTTTTTTTCTTCATATTATACAATTTTTTTCTGTGGAATTCTCATGAAAACGTCTTTAAAATATATTAAAAATGGAGGTTTTTCCACTAGTGCTGGTATTATCTTGCAATTAAGAAAATGTCTCTTTAGTACTTGCATTCTCAATGAGTGGTTTTGCTGGCATGTTTGAAGAACTAACATTTGACACCTAACTTGTGGCCAGGTTCAAGGCAAGTCAATAGTGCTTATTAGCAGAATAGGCAGAATTATAGCTATTCAAATTCATGGTGCTAACTGGATGTCTGTCAAAGTGTTGAGACAGTGTGTAAGTAAATACTGGAACCCTGTTGTAAACTGATAACAAAAGATAATTTATTTAGTCTATTGGCCAACACAAAATAGTTCTGTAGCACCCAATGCGAGAAAAGGTACACCATAATAATGCCATATCAAAAATTCATGCTGTGGAGGTATGAGCTTTTACAATCCAACAAATAACTTTGTGGGTATTCAGTTCAGAAAAATGTTATATATCAAAGGTGTTTTGAAAGCAGTGAAAAAATAAGTTCAAGCATCTACAGCTGGTTCTCTTTCAGAAGATAACGTTTAATTCAATTGAACGTTTTTCCTTAAAAGTAATGGCTTTGTTAGGAATTGTAAACCAATTACAATAAAGTCAGCATAAAAAGTAAATACTAGTAACTAAAAGTATAAAAAGTAATACTAGTAACTAAGTTCATGATGTAAATGGACAAAAAAACAGTGAAGTACAAGTTAAAATGAAAATAAAATGTCACTGGAGAAAACGCAATTGCAGAAAGGCAGGAATAAATTAGGCTAACCTGGTAATATGTTACTGATGTAGAGTGGGGATAAATGTGTTTTGGGAGCGCTCGTCAAAAAACAAACTGTAGACTTGTGTGTAATAAGTATGGAAACCATAAACCAGTGGTGATTAGAAAATGCACCAAAATCAAACTAAGATCAGAATTTGAAGAATTTTTCACATTTAGTATAGATGTGGATAGGCACTATAATGTCTCTTATAACAATGAAGCATGGTAGATTCACTTAAAAACGCTTGTCCCAGGACTCTGGATTTTGTTTGTATCCTCTTAGAATATATTTCTCAATGTCACTACACCTTATTGATATATCACCACCATACAACAATAATAATAATCATTATAACCAAGACGTGCTAGTATACATTTGTTCAACTTAAAGACATCAGATGTAAAATAGTTATAACTGATACGAGAAATGCCCCCAAAACGTTTCACTTATCAATAATTGTATTTCAAGATCTTGTGTTAAAAAAAAAATACTTTATTTAATATATCATATTTAATATATATATGAATGTTAAGAGATTAAATGATAAATAATAAAAATTGACACAATTTAAAGCGAGGGAGTCGTCACCTGCGCATATGTCAGATGGCCATAGCGTGTACCTAAGAGTTTTTAGCGTGTGTTGTTATCGTTGCTTGGGACTTAATTCCCACGCGTGCGCAGGTGATGACCGTCCCGCTTTAATTGACATGAACCCTACCTTGTCCATATACTGTGATGTGTGCCAACAATTATATTTGTATTCATAGTCAAATTTCAATTATAAATTTGTTTGCAGAATACAATTTACACTTACAATACCTTGATTTGCATATATAACACGCTATTACAGTTTTGGGTATAGTGATAATAAATTTGAATTGAGTAGCGGTGTTATTGCCAAGGCACGTAAAATGAAACTGTTCTTTTCTGATTGTACAATTTTTTCTTGGAATATGAGTATTAATATCATAATAATACTCGTATTTCAAGAACACATCGTTTAATTTTGAACCCGTTTCCAGAAAACATTTCTGCATAAATACCTTTATTTTATTTATTAATTTCACTTTGTATCGTATGGTACGGTACGATGCCCAAGCCATCAACTGCTTGTGTTCGCCGGGAGCAATAAAGTCACATGATGTATCTTCTGAGCATGCGTAGTAGGATTAAATGACAGACGTTTTGTAGGGGTTGTGAAGGCCAAACTTTTCTTGACACTTATACGAAGCTCATTTATTCAGGATATATGTTCTCCGAATATCACACAGACAATAATTATTGAATTCGAGTTTACGTAACCTCGGAGATTTCCCCCATCCCTGTAGTTTATTCATTAAGTCCATTGGTGCGTAGTATCTGGATAATATCCCTAAACGGGAAAAATACTGGGGAAAGTTATATTTTTTGAATACGATCCATAATGATGCTAGTTTTTTTTTTTCACACTTGATTAAATGAAATGTACATTTTAGAAAATATTGCTTTCAAACTCACCGATCGTGAATATTATCGAATGAAAATCGGAGAATTGATTTTACACTCAACTATCAGTTGATTATACATAATTCAACTCAATATACTTAGTAGTTGATTGTATTTTGAACATTTTATACTGACTATGGACATCTATATTAGATAAAATGGCACTGTGTGATGCCACTTGTCCACAATTAATAGCAAAAACCGGTTCCACACAATGGCAGTGCTATCACATTAATTATAACTGTATACCAATTGTTCAACAACTGTTCAGTTAGATTTTCTTTGTTATAAAATCACTAATTATAGACAAAAAGTACGAGAGTAACGTACATTTTTAGTGACGTTTAATAAAATCTCCAGAACATTAACTTGTAACGGCGTTGAATTTATGTTTTACAAATTGGAAGTTTTAAAAAGCTGGTAAAATGTTGATAATTTTACATACATTAATTTTCGGATATTCTTCCCAATTGCACCTTGTTATTGTGTTTGTGTAATTGACATGGATACTATTCTAAATTATAATTGGAGCAAACATATAAGAGACGTGTTTGTGTAATTGACATGGATACTATTCTAAATTATAATTGGAGCAAACATATAAGAGACGTGTTTGTGTAATTAACATGGATACTATTCTAAATTATAATTGGAGCAAACATATAAGAGACATAGTCAAACCAATAATTTCGCTATGCAAACAGTAAATACAATGTTTAGATTTGAGAGTTTAGGTTTTATTAATAGAAAGAATGCATAAACCGTATTAACCTGTCATATATCATTTGAATCACATTATCCCACTGTTTTTGAAAGGAAATACAAAGATCATTCTGTGTTTCAAATTTAATGGAATTTTCACATTTGGAACAATCACAGCAAAATTGGAGATTCTTTTACTGGATTTCGAACTGTCCCAGAATTTACGACTTTTTGTCTATAGCGCCATCTGGTGTCCGTCCGGATACTTTGTTTGTTAATGATTTACAGACCATGCCGATATGTTTTCATTGAAAGGATTTAGTTTTTTCCCATAGTACATTGCGCCAAAACAGCAGCTATTTGGGGGTATTATAATCTTAGAAGTTACTAGTAGTTTGAAACCAACACTAAACCCTGTGTTTGTACAGGGGAATGACAGATTTTTAAAGTAATTGGAAGTGAATTTTCCGAAAACAATATCGTCATTTGTGAAGGCAGAAATGGCAAGTTGACACACACTATCCTGACCGAGTTTACTAAGATGTAAAATTGTTACTGTATTCATAAATTGTGTTATTCAGAACACTTAAAATGCGGGTTGTGAGAAAATTATCATGATATTTCAAAGGTCGAGTCTATATTTGTTTGATTGTAACCGATTGTTAGACTGGCGTAGTCGGGCGATTAATTTGTTTTTGTAGTTTAAATAAAATAAAAAAATTCGCGAATTTGTTTATTTTATTTAAACTAAAAAAACAAATTAATCATCCCGACTCCGTCAGTCTACCGATTACATATGCCGACTGTTGTCTGCCAGGCACTGTGATTGGTCAAATAGTTCAACTTTATGGAAGGTTTACGTTAATTTTATATAAAAAAAAACGTTTTAACTGCTTTATATTTCCGTCTGTAATTTATATATTTGTTTATATCTCAATAAATTAGTGTGTCATACGAAAATAAAAACGGTATACGAGCGATGTCATATTTCCCTTGGGAGGGAGGGGTAATAAAATTGCGGAATGAATGACAGAATATAAAAAGACTACCGCAAGTAGCGGGTGGCCGGAAATTAAAAAGACGACATAACGAGTATAATATTGGGAATAATCACTGTGTACCGTTGATTCGCCCGACGAGCTGCTCAGTCCCTCTATAATGTAACCATAATATGTACAACAATTGATTAGGCTTGAATGGAATTTAGCGGAAACAGTTTTATGTTTAAAAAATGGCATTCGCATGACATCGACAAGTCCCATTCACCACAATTGATAACAACCACAGTCCCTCTATAGTCTATAGAGGAACGTTGTTACAACCTTATAGAGGGCGCTATACTATGCTCCGGTTGCTGCCCGTTTTGCAAAACCTTTACAGTTGTTTTTCGGGATGTCTGATTATGTAATTTGTGCCTCCATGGCAACGTCTAAGGTAATGATGACTTGAACGCCTCCATGGCAACGTCTAAGGTAATGATGACCTGCACGCCTCCATGGCAACTTCTTAGGTAATGATGGTGTGCACACCTCCATTTGTCGGCATCGCAGTGGTGCTTTTCAATCAACGCTCTCGCCCTCTATAGTCAAGCTGACTCACATTCATTATTTCTCACGTGACAATCCACGTTTCTCCACTACTCGGTGACATCTATAAGTGAGATTAAAAACTTAAAATATAAACTGTCCAATGGCTTACACATTCATGTGTGAAATTAAAGTGTCTGAAAAGGCCACTCCCTACATAAGACAGTCCAGATTATCGTAATTCTCGTCAATGGCCGTTGGCACACTTACAGGCCTCAGGTTATATGGATCTTGAACACTGAATTCACTGTGTATAATATTGTCTCATTTTGTAACACAGTATTGCCATTATTTTCAACGTGGTGTCGACCTTGGTGGTCTATAACATTAAGATGTCGTAGCTTAATAATTTCATAGTCACGTGATTAGAACATAGCTAGAAAACTTTAAAAAAGAAAGTGGAAGGGATGACACATGTCCAAGAGTGTTGTTTTACCATACACTGTTTTAACTAAACACATACGCTGATAGAGATATATTTTTATGGTTACGTTGCTCTACACAAAAGATTAATCTTGTCACATATATTGTGTGCTTTCAAGTAATCGCAATTATTATTAAGTTGAGTCGGTACAGCCACACCACCGACTAATAACAGTGTGAGTTGTTTGACTTGATTTATCGCAGTATACGAGTATACATGTCTTAACACGTTAACAAGACGTTATTGAAAATGAAAAACGAAAGTGTGTTTCAGACAAATTAGTCATTTTTCTCTTATAACAACATACAGTTGTATGGAACAGGTAAATACCAGGTTAAACTTACATGCAGTATTCCTGTTTATCTATGCTAACCATGACCGAACGCAGCTCTTCAATATATACCATATATTCGTTCGTTTGCAGTGTTTTAAAATATGATTACATGAAATCGCCCAGTAGCTGCAATTCGTCACAAAATAACGACGCGTCCAACTGCTAACTCACATATACTTGTCATTTTACGCCCCCCCCCCCATACCATGTACGACCCAGCACACATGAATTATCACGCACACTATATCGGCGCATTGGTCTAATAGAATGGGACATCGTCTATCTCGTAACAATTAAACTTTCAGAATGTGTTCACGGTGTTGTCAGCCAAACAACACTCACCATCAGTCTTCAGTGAACTTATATGGTCCGTTGCGTTTGTTTTTATTTGTATTCTCTAATTCTATTGTATGCGTGCGTGGGTCATATTTTAATTCCCAACGTATATGCGACAGCTCGAAACTGACAAACAGATGAATGAGCACTTAATGTGCCTATATTCACATACCTAGGGGTGCCCAGATACCATTTTTATATACACAAGGTACATCCTCTCCCCTAAATAGACCGATGTATGTAGTTTGGCGAGGTATGTTGGTGAGCAGTTCCTATTATTGAAATATTCCAATATGTCCATGTCTTTTTGCCAAAGCAGTTCCGTTACTAAACTACCAAGACTCAAACCCGATCTGCCGGCATGTCCCAAACTGGTCCGAATAAACTCCACGCTAAATGGAATAACACCGGAAAACAATGCAGTCACTACAGCTAATAAAGATGAAGTTGGCACATCCCCCCGATGTGGTAAGTTTTTAAACTATTTTTCTACATTATTTGGCTGTATATATTTGCGTAACTATGGTAATAACCTTGTAGTCACCATGACACGACACGTGTTCTTGAATCGTCATTTAAGTGTAAATGAAATGCGTGTTGGTGTTAATACCACCGGATTTCATATATAACATAATTACAAATAAGATGCGACGTTATTTGTTTATGTGAATTAAATTATTAAGGGTCTTTGCGTTAAAAGTTAGATGTGTGGGTTTAAAGCTGTGTAGAGAGTGCTGCTGGAACTGAATCAGTCATATATACACATAGCTCGGTAGAAGTGAAATCAATTTGACATCGATCTCATATTATTAACTTGGCAATGTACACACCACTTTGAATGTCGGTTTCTTTCAACGGCTGTGTTTAACTCCGGCACATAAGAAACCATGACTCGTCATTTCACACGCATGGCGAGCGCTGTTTCAATTTAATTACAACCCGCTACAATAAGATTGCGAAATAACAACCAAATTAATTGCGTGGATCTGGTACTGTGTAGTTTAAGACAACATGCTGAAGTGTTTGTTATTCTTCCCCAAACTGTCATTGTAGTCGCTTTCATTGTGCTCAGTTTCACTGTGATTACATTCAATAGCCATCCCATTAGTCACATCCATACATTTCAAAGACGGTAATGCCAAGTATCAATATTATACCAATGTGCCATTTCCACATCGTCGCGCCTGCGCAAATGTAATACCCGGAGCTAATAATATCGTCAAGCTCATTAATCACCCCATCGCCAATGCAGATGAAATTTACACCTGACGCATTAATTATTTAAAAATTGTTTTTATTAAAGTCCTCTTCAATTAAGTTGTAGTATTAACATCGAACAATGGCGACAAATAACTCGGAGCTTGTTTCGATTAAAGATTAATATCACGACCAAAAGGGTCGTTATTTGAAAATAAAATGTAGGCAAATTACGCATGAGAACGTTGAATGCAATTTTATAGGGCGGTTGTGTGCGGAAATCCGAGCTGTATGGAGTTTATTTGCAACAACGTTACTTGAACACATCAATCAGAAGTGGTTATTTCGATGTTAATAAGCTATCAGTAAATACACTTGTCCAATCCTAAACATATGGTACACACTTATATTTTATAAAGACATTTCTGACTTAATAAGGTATTTACTGAAAGCCGTACTGACGGGGAGGCTATCCTTCAACTGGATCAATGCTGAAAACCCTCGGAATTATAAAACTAGATGTTGGGACTATTGTATGGTTTATACGATTGGCTCTCAATTTCAATAAACAGGAAAATCGGACTATTAGAACGTCAATGATACAGACCTGAACGGCGCCACTCCCTTGCCTGTACTAAACCCTTTGTAGCTTAGTCATTACAATTACCAAGTATATACGGACGCCAAGTAACATTAGGTTGGTTTATTTCATCATTTAATATTTTCTATTTTTCGTCATCTTAATAATAGTTTGACAATATCGAAACATGTGTACGAAGAATTCAGGATTTCTTTTACGAATTCTCAAAAATAATTATGAAAATTCGTATTTTTAAATATCCAGCCGGTGAAAATAATTGTTTAGCATGTAGAGCGATATTAGGGGCACGGACACTCTACGGACATGATGTAGACAATGCGTCTGAACAGGATTACGTGTACTAAAACAAATACAAATGTTCTAATATTTTACAAAGTGCTGTTCCAATGTAATTCTTGAATTAACTGTGAATTTGAAAAAGAGCATTATATGATATTGTTCTAAGTATTGGCAAATCAATGTAGGTACCCGTGATGAAAGTAAGTTTTGAAAAAACGATTTTTTTGCAGTTTATTTCTAAATAGGGGGATTATTTTGTAATTACAATGACCATCATACTGGATATAGAGTCTCATTAAGGCGATTAGCACTGAGATGGTCGGTACACCAATATGATGCCAGATAAGCTCATCGCGTTATCACTTAATACACGCATTGTTCCATACAAATTAATGGTATCAGCCGTTGTCACATGTGTCGTGACATTGCCGTATCTATGTTGGCTATTTACGATATATGCGATATAAGTTGTGGCGAACGATGTACCAGCATTCTATGGGAAAACAACCTACCCGTAACTGAGTGCTCCACTTGATAGCATTGCGCGTCCATTCAGTGGTCCATTCATATTTCCAACCTCAGCGTTATGCATTCATTTCAGTGCCGATAAACACTTCTGTTAATTTCCAACCACAGCGTTATGCGTCCATTTCAGTGGCGATAACCACTTTTGTTAATTTCCAATATCAGAATACTGCCTCAATTTCAGCGCCGATAACCACTTCTGTTAATTTCCAACTTTGGAATTCCGTGTTCATTTCAGTGCCGATAACCACTACTGTTAATTTTCAACCTCAGCACACCGTGTTCATTTCAGTGGCCATAACCACTTATGTTAATTTACAACCTCAGCACACCGTGTTCATTTCAGTGGCCATAACTACTTCTGTTAATTTCCAACCTCAGCATTCCGCGTCCATTTCAGTGGCCATATCCAATTCTGTTAATTTCCAACCTCAGCACACCGTGTTCATTTCAGTGGCCATAACCAATTCTGTTAATTTCCAACCTTAGCACACCGTGTTCATTTCAGTGGCCATAACCAATTCTGTTAATTTCCAACCTCGGCACACAGTGTTCATTTCAGTGGCCATAACCACTTCTGTTAATTTACAACCTCAGCATTCTGCGTCCATTTCAGTGGCCATAACTACTTCTGTTAATTTCCAACCTCAGCACACTGTGTTCATTTCAGTGGCCATAACCACTTCTGTTAATTTCCAACCTCAGCACACCGTGTTCATTTCAGTGGCCATAACCAATTCTGTTAATTTCCAACCTCGGCACACAGTGTTCATTTCAGTGGCCATAACCACTTCTGTTAATAATTTCCAACCACAGCGTTATGCGTCCATTTCAGTGGCGATAACCACTTTTGTTAATTTCCAATATCAGAATACTGCCTCAATTTCAGCGCCGATAACCACTTCTGTTAATTTCCAACTTTGGAATTCCGTGTTCATTTCAGTGCCGATAACCACTACTGTTAATTTTCAACCTCAGCACACCGTGTTCATTTCAGTGGCCATAACCACTTCTGTTAATTTACAACCTCAGCACACCGTGTTCATTTCAGTGGCCATAACTACTTCTGTTAATTTCCAAACTCAGCATTCCGCGTCCATTTCAGTAGCCATAACCAATTCTGTTAATTTCCAACATCAGCACACCGTGTTCATTTCAGTGGCCATAACCAATTCTGTTAATTTCCAACCTCAGCACACCGTGTTCATTTCAGTGGCCATAACCAATTCTGTTAATTTCCAACCTCGGCACACAGTGTTCATTTCAGTGGCCATAACCACTTCTGTTAATTTACAACCTCAGCATTCTGCGTCCATTTCAGTGGCCATAACCACTTCTGTTAATTTCCAACCTCAGCACACTGTGTTCATTTCAGTGGCCATAACCACTTCTGTTAATTTCCAACCTCAGCACACCGTGTTCATTTCAGTGGCGATAACCACTGCTGTTAATTTCCAAGCTCAGCATTCCGCGTCCATTTCAGTGGCCATAACCACTTCTGTTAATTTCCAAGCTCAGCATTCCGCGTCCATTTCAGTGGCCATAACCACTTCTGTTAATTTCCAACCTCAGCACACCGTGTTCATTTCAGTGCCGATAACCACTTCTGTTAATTTCCAACCTCAGCATTCCGCATTCATTTCAGTGCCGATAACCACTTCTGTTAATATCCAACCTCAACACATCGTGTTCATTTCAGTGGCCATTACCACTTCTGTTAATTTCTAACCTCAGCATTCCGCGTCCATTTCAGTGGCGATAACCACTGCTGTTAATTTCCAACCTCAGCATTCCACGTTTATTTCAGTGGCGATAACCACTTCTGTTAATTTCCAACCTGATCACATCGTGTTCATTTCAGTGGCCATAAACACTGCTGTTAATTTCCAACCTCAGCATTCCGCGTCCATTTTAGTGCCGATAACCACTTCTGTTAATTTCCAACCTCAGCATTCCGCTTCCATTTCAGTACCGATAACCACTTCTGTTAATTTCCAACCTCAGCACACCATGTTCATTTCAGTGGCCATAACCACTTCTGTTAATTTCCAACCTCAGCATTCCGCGTCCATTTCAGTGGCCATAACCACTTCTGTTAATTTCCAACCTCAGCATTCCGCGTCCATTTCAGTGGCGATAACCACTGCTGTTAATTTCTAACCTCAGCATTCGTTCCGCGTCCATTTCAGTGGCGATAACCACTTGTGTTAATTTCCAACCTCAGCACACCGTGTTCATTTCAGTGGCCATAACCACTGCTGTTAATTTCCAACCTCAGCATTCCGCGCCCATTTCAGTCAGTGGCCATAACCACCTGAACTCTAATCTCAGTATTTTACGTTGATTTTAGTGTCCATTTCTGTGGCGATAACCACTTTTATTTATTTATTTATTTATGATCCCAGTTTCATCAAAATACCATCGTTGTTTGTATTTGATCGACCTGAATATCAATGTTAGTCACATTGACGTATTAGAACATTAGTACATACAATTAAGCGTTTCTTATCTATTATACATAAACTTCTATATTGTATTACACCTTTCTAAAATCATTGACTCTACTAGTAATTTATAGTTCATGCTTCAATTTATTTTTACGGAACGTAATAATCCCTGAGTTGTAATGTACATCCATATTTTCTTATATTTAGCATACGCCTACATAGTACCCGAATAACCCGGGTTTAGTTGATCGATGTTTATTGTAACGTTCGTGGTCCATACGGGACGTCAACCTGGCCTGAATATATGAGTCGAAATTTAATCAAAGCAATCTCTCGTATTAAGGTGGGGATTACGTAAAAGCAACAACACTAATCGTCACCGGCTGGCTGCTTGGTTTTTGTGCGTGGGAAAAACAAAACTAAAACGACGCACACAGCTTTGAGTTGGGATTATATCCATCCACTGAGCTTTATTCTACCAAAAATACATTAATTGAAAAAGTCAGGAACGATATTTGTGAAACGACCAGTTTATGTTACTGATTCGTGCCATTTCTAAATCCAATGACAATCGCAAGAACCGGACAAAAGAATTAGTGGTATATTTTGGCGATAATTTGTTTGACATGAATGTGTTAATTATTCTCCTTGATTGATAGGTATTTTTTACGCTGATTTGCCTTTGATTGCCTTATCCTACATACAAATTGAACCATATGTCTGATATCATAGTGTTCGATAAGTTCGATTGACGGTGGCAGCAATATGCGCCGATCAAATACTTAATACCATAACCGTATTACTAACACTTTATTAGCCACTGTATACACGAATTTTTTGAAAAAGGCCTTTTAATTTATCAAGAATATGGAACAACTGCGACAGCTGTGGCTGTATTTGCATACACAAGGTATGCTACAGTGATCATGGACCTGTATTATTAATTTTGTCCCCGGCCATACGTAGTTACGTTTTTGTTTCTGAGCTGTTGATCCCACCAATTACTTGTGTGCATTAATTTGTGTATAATACGACGTGGTCATCAATACCGCAACGATGCTATCACATTTCACACACAAAAAAAATGCCCCATACTGAGACTCGTGAAAAATGTTCATATGGTTTTGAAACTGTAATTAATTTTATGGAACAAAATTGTGGATAAAAATATACACGTAATTTGATTGTATAGCGACTACTGGAATAGAATGGAAACACGACATATTTGGACATGGCGTATCAGATAAACTACAGGTTGTCATGGTTACATGGAACTTCTCGATAGGCTTCTCATAGTCACGTGTTATGACGGTTTATGTTTGCCAGGGTTTAACAGTGTTGTCAGCACAATTTAAAAAAAAATGTGTTTGTTACTCAAATCAACATACATACGCGTCAGTTGCCTGTTGTTACTCTTTTCTGTGCACGCTGAGAGTGCACAGATTCTCGAAGATCGGTATTTTTTTTAACCGATACGTTTGGTGTTTCTGCGATTCTATATTTTTTGTCTTCCTTTGATTTAAAGTTGAAGCTTGGTGCCAATGTCTAAGTTCGTGTGTTTCTCTTGTCACGTAAATATATCAACCGCAGTAATCACTGCAACTGTTCCATACACTAGCAGGTTGAAACACTTATCTACGACAGACATTGTTTTATAACGATTATATGTGATAATTCAGTACAAACATCGTGTATGAATATTAATTTGTCTAATGGTTATCGACTATAGACAATGTATGTTTGATGGATCGGGTGAGGTAGGGGTGGGTGCGCACCCCGTCCCCCATCCCCCATAAGTTTTACATATGTAAATATACGAAGCATGTACATTTACATCATATTAATACTAGACATACGTATTCTACATTGACAAGAGTGGGTGCGTGTCGAACGCTATATACGGTAGCAGGTTCTCCTAGTTTGACTAACACCTATACACCAGGTGATGAGTGCCGTTAATTGGTGTTCATCCAACTAAGCATTAGTGTATGTTGTCTATGACTCCAGGCTATTTTTACACTGTGGCGTACCGTGTGCTACCTATGGGGCATATGGCATTCACTACAGCGATCATTGTTAGGAAGCAGCTGAATGTGTTTGTGTGTGCCAAGTAAGACTGACCATTCTTCACTCTCTATTTATATGAATGATACCCTCCCATGTTTGGAAGCTTATACGATGCATGTTATAAAGACTTTGCCGGGACACCAGTGTAAAAATCTGTCACTTTCATCGTGAGGGATGTTATAAGTTGGATGTTTTCATTCATCGGCAATCCAAGTAGTATGAATTACGTTCAAACTCTGGTACCGACATACGTTACTGTTCATGCTTTTGATTGATTTTCCAATTTAGTTTAATTCAAGCACACTACACATGCATTCTAAGCCTCTGGATTTACTAAGCATTTATGAACTATTGGTTATGCCGGAATAGTATTGTCATGTGATACCATGTACGTTTTTCACCATTTTCATACCATGCATGTTTTTTTGTTATTTTAAGAATCGAAGAAAATGGACCTCGCCTTGAAAAATTGCACTGATCTCAAAGAAAGGCAGTTGTACAAAGATTTCTCCACGGCAAGACTATTGATGGACAACGCTACGCATCAACACGTGTACCAACAATTGAACATCCATAAAATTAAACATTCGACTGGGACACCACTATGGTGGCCAACATTAAAGACCGAAGAGCCATATGAAGGAGAAGAGAGAAAATGTATCCGAGACCCGGCTACATGGAACAACGGGTCAAGAATGCAAGCTGACCAAGCCAATGAGAATCGGCATGGGTTTGATGGAAAAGTCGAAAGTGATTTTTTCAGTACAAATGGCTGCGGCAAAACTGAACCGAACAGTAACAAAATTGAAACAACTGAAGATTTTGAGAGTGACCCCACAACAACTTCTTCTATATCAATGAGAAACGAGAAGGCGACTGTAGAGGTAAAAAGCGGTGTTGAGCACGAAGGCGAGGGAGCGGATGACGGGCTCAGTTTATCGGGATGCAGCGATACTGAAGACTACAGTTGTGGAAAAAGAAAACAACGCAGATATCGCACAACGTTTACCAGTTACCAATTAGATGAACTGGAACGGGCATTTCAAAAAACGCACTACCCAGACGTATTTACCAGGTTAGTAGTGACATTTTATCTAGACACGGTGTCACATCTACCGAGACATGTCTTTTTTGGACCCCGGTGTACACCCTACCT